TTTCATGTTATTTTTGTTATTATGAAAATATGAAATATTTAGCTTTGTTATGTTTATTCACTTTCTTATTATATAGAAGATATTTGTTTGTTTATGTGCAAGATGAACTTTTTTTATTTCATCGAATGATTTAATAAAAACAGTATTCTCACGAGTGGCGTAGAAAATTCTTTTTTTTAAAGTCCACGAGATGCAATAAAATTACATCGTACAAAACAAACAAACAAATTTTCTTTTAATTTTATGCTTAAAAACAGGTTTAAATATAATTTCCTCGATATTATCCTTTAATATTAAAATCTGTTTTCTACGGAATGCCGTTACGGCCATCGGATCTGAAACGCGATAGACGACAATACGATGGTGAAAACGCTAAATCACGAAACTACGATGGTGAAAACGCGAAAGTACGATGATGAAAATGCGATAGTACGATGATGAAAACGCGACAGTAGGATACTACGATGATGAAAACGCGATAAACTATCGTGTTTTCACCATCGTACTGTCGCGTTTTCACCATCGTAGTTTCGTGATTTCGCGTTTTCATCATCGTACTGTCGATGAAAACGCGATAGTACGATGATGAAAACGCGATAGTACGATGATGAAAACACGACAGTACAATGGTGAAAACGCGATAGTACGATGATGAAAACACGACAGTACGATGATGAAAACGCGATAGTACGATGGTGAAAACGCGATAGTACGATGATGAAAACACGACAGTACGATGATGAAAACGCGAAATCACGAAACTACGATGGTGAAAACGCGACAGTACGATGGTGAAAACACGACAGTTTATCGCGTTTTCATCATCGTAGTATCGTACTGTCGCGTTTTCATCATCGTACTTTCGCGTTTTCATCATCGTACTTTCGCGTTTTCACCATCGTAGATTCGTGATTTCGCGTTTTCACCATCGTACTATCGACTATCGCGTTTCAGATCAACACATTAATAGGCAATGGCCCTTACGGCATTCCGTAGTTTTCCGCACTGGTAGCCTCAATTTTTTTCCAATTTTGGTTGAATTTCTCATAAATACAAGAAGTTATGAGCTGGAAAATAAGTTCGACAAACAACATTAAATGGCGATGATATTATTGATTATATTCAAACAATATTAATGATCGCTTGTTTTAATAGTAAAAACAAACAATTGTTATAGTAGAAAAAATCTTATGGGGAATTTTTATTAGACCTGGATTTGTGTAAGATAAGCAGCCGCCTTTTCACCGGAGGAATATCATTTCGATATGTTAGTCATATATCTTTATAATTAGAAAGACAATATATTTGAGGATTAATACAGACAATAAATAATTGTCGACAGATGTGTAAAAATTAAAAAAGCGGCTAGGATATTGGAAAACATGAAATTGTTGAAAGGCTGTCTTACAAACGCTGGGGTTTTTACTTATTCTTAAGGTTGACGACTGTCAATGCTTTTCAAGTTTTCAAATTGCATTAGGCAGGTATTGCTCGTAGGATACTTAAATATGCCCAAATGGCATCAAAAGCAGTTTTGCGTGTGGAAGGAATTGTATTTTTTAGGCTGTAAAACGAAACAAAACAATTAAAAATCATATTTGATGATTGGTAATTTGAATGAGTTGAAGTAAGTTAAGTTATTTCTTAATATTACCTTTGAATTCTGAGTTATTTATCAATTTCAACTTTGCTTTTCTCGAAACACCGCTGGCAATGTCAGAATAGTCAGCAAAAATAAAAATGAGGTACCACATGGGGAAAATCTTTGAAATGTGGTTTTGTCACTTAAAACATTGTTAACATTTCACGTGTCAATTCAAACAATAGAAATTACCTTATGTCGTCAAATATACATGACATCGAATTAAGATTTTTAAGAATTATTTTCGCCTATATCTTTTTCAGAATAATCCGCGTATTGTTAGTTATAACGTGTTATACACTTACAACCGCTGTCATCAACGTTTTGAATTTCAATAACAACCAATATTACCCAAGAGATGGTTTTGACAATTATCAACAAGAGAGACATTTTAATAGTGGACACTTTGCAAATCGGTTTCAAGATCCTGTCTGCGGGAGAACTTTGACGAAGTTTGATTGCCAATTGTTTGACCTCGGGTCAAATTTACTGAGCAAATACGAATTTCTTGACGCCGTAAGTATAGTCATTCTTTACATTGATCACGTGAGTTTTTAACCTTGAATATGGAACATATTTCTAAATTTTAAAAAAAAATATACGACTTATTTCTGAGTATTGCATTGTCTTTTATAAAATTGAGTCACTGCATTATCATGAACAAAACAATGTCGCCAACAGCAAATGGCTTTGTCCAAATACTTATATAATGATGGTATTGGCAACATAATAAAAGAAATTACATCAATTAAGGGCGACGATCATTGAAAACCCTGCCACGATTTTGGGGCACCGAACAAGAAAAGGCAAAACAGCGGATCAAGAAAGCTGTCGCTGTAAGTGTAAAATGACACGTATAAAGCCATTTAGAATGAGTAGGTTAATAAACTTAAAAAATAAAATAATGAAACTGATATAATGAAATGTTAAAACTTTAGGTGTTACTGACAGAATAAATTTGAAATAGTTTATCATTAATAAAATATATCTAGATATGAGCCGGTCTTTAAACAATTTACAATATTGTTGTACTATTCATGCAAAACTGATGTATTTATATTATTATATAACTTTTCAGATTTCATCAGAATCTAGATGGTTTAACATATACTCTAGAGAAATTGGAGCTCCCGCTGCTTTTGGAAAATGTTTCTTTAGATATGATTCACCTGTTTCGGATGGAGATTTTGTTCAAAAAGCGCTATGTTTGTAAGATAATTTACTCATATATATAATGAAATTGGATCATAATTATTAAGGAAATATGATACAGTTCGAAGGTAAATATAAACATAATATTTAGGGCAAAATGCCTATTTAGAGTTCATTTAAAGTGTCAAGCCTGTGTCAGAACAACCACAGAACAAATACGATGTACATAAAATAATACATGCTAGTAAAAAACATCACTTTTCAATTAGTGCATTATATAGCCTTATTTATAGATCTTCTAAAACAACGGTACTTTCGCCAATGATTTGTCTTTTTTCTGCAATACCTTAGGATATTCTCATATTACAGTGAAAATGCTCATAAGTTTAGAAACTCTACTGCCGAAGTTATTTTGATTGTTGGTCCATATACCGTCATCGCATTATAAATGTTCATTTAGTTTTAAGCCGATGATATGCAGCCCGGACAGTGTTTATTCCGATTCTTTCATAATCACGGGTGAGGAAGTGTTACACGTGGGATGGAGTTCTTATGATAACTTGTTAAGGAGTTCTTGTGATAACTGTCACGGAGTTCGTCGGAAAACTATTGTATATCCTGGAAAACACGTAACAAAAGTTATCATAAAAACTCCAGGACATATTTTGAGTTATCACAAGAACTCCGGGACATTTGAAAAATCGGGTATAAATTTGTTTGCCGGGACTTTATGTTTGCAATTTTGCGTTTTAATTAGGTATTTATGTAAGGCAAGGATGAAGACTTGAAATAAACAGGCCAATACTTGCGAAACGGCAAATAATTTGAAAACTTTACTCAAAACTACCAGATATTAAGCAAGTTAGAGGCGATGAAAAATGGACTATGAATTAGTTTTTGACACATAATACAATATGTACGGCAAGCTTTTTAAAGATGAAAATTACCATTTTTGACGAGTGTTTTTGCAGTACATGTATATACAATAGGTTTCCGACGAACTCAGTGACAGTTATCACAAGTTATAATAAGAACTCCATCCCTCGTGTAACACTTCCCCCCCCCCCCCCGTGATAATATGGTATTTTTTTGAAATCCTGATTCTAAACAGCCTTCAGTTGATGGCCGGATGTACATACACGGAAGTGTCAGTTAACTTGTGACTATACCGAAAATCATGTACAAGCCTTGCTGATTACTATTGTTAGTGTAAGAATGAATATTCATTCACTCATAATATGTGCATATATATATATATATATATATATATATATATATATATATATATATATATATATATATATGATGTAAAATTAAGAAGTTCACTGAGCATTCACTTTTAATGAACAGGCTCAATCAAACCGAGCCTGCGACATTTTACAATTTTGCCGTGTTGGGCTTTCTTTAAGGATTCTGTTATTCTCTATTTCATTATCACATCCGTGTTATTTATGCCGTGTGGCGGCTGTAAAACGTCTCCCCGTACATTTAATCAATGATGTTATATTTTCGATTCTTGAAGATCGTTCAGCACGACATAATTGGTGTGTATACATGATATGCGGTACTATTAGTGTTTTCTATTCGGTCTTTTTCTATTTGGGTGGTTCCAGTATTCCTACTTGAATACTGTATAATCACCCTTAGGATATGTCGCCTGCTTTTTAAATTTGTCTTTTGACGTCTTATCTGTGATATGCAGGCTTCATAACCTCAGATCCCCCTTCAAAATTCCATTTTATTTAGTTCCGTCCATTGTTTTCTCGTTTAGGGCACAAGCATTCTTTTACTTGGGGACCATACGCCGCTTTTCATGGAATTGTACTACTGTGTCACATTGAAGGTTCCATGATGACCGCCGTATGAACACATCTACGGTTATTTCTACATTCAAAATTTCACCATTTTCTTGTTAAATGTTGAATTCTGCTTAAGCCGGTGCTAGAGGGCGTGGACGGTAATTTGCATTTTCTAGTACCGTCCATGAACAGGCTCAATCAAACCGAGGCTACAACATTTTACAATTTTGCAGTGTTGGGCTTTCTTTAGGGATTCTGTTATTCTCTATTTTAACATACTTATATATAATATATATAATGTTTGTTTGTGTGGTAATGTGGTAGGAAAGAAGCTTTTAACTCATTTTCTATTTTTCATGACAACATTTTGTAATTATTTAGTAACTTGGATAGCAATACCTGTGAAGATTTGTCTTTTATGGTAAGATTAGAGGAGGACGAATGCGGGAGAGTGAAATTGCAAGCAGGTAATTACCCTTATTCCTTCTTACTGTTTTGTAGAAAACAGTATCCAAAATTGCATAACCTTCGTGTGCTGGGAAAAAATATACATAGAGATGAAATGCCAAATTATGATTTTTTTAAAGGCGTAGTTAAAATGTGAAAGATAAAAACGCGAGAAATTGACAGATTTAAGCCTAAACAGTAACCGTTAAGGAAACAAGCAAATAAATTATTTTCCCACAGACAACGCTTTGATGTAACATAAAACCAAACCAAAAAGTGAATAATAAAATATCAAATAAAAAGAAAAAAATAGCCTTGTTGTTCTTTAAATGTCTGTATTTTTTCATTAGTAAATGGTACATTAGAAGAAACATTTTACAGCCAGGATATCAAACAGTACTTATGGATCGAATTTTGCTTCAACAAGGTTGACGGTGACCTGTGTCAGGGAGGACGTTTCATTGACCTTTTCGTGAAGGGAAGTCGACTGATCGGTCAGTCTATAAAATATACTTAACGAAGTTTATCTTCATACGAAATACTTGATTTATCCGTTGCATAATTGGAACTTAAAAACATGACCAAATTTAAGTTATATATTTATAAAATTTTTAAAGTATTATTATAAATGTATACAAAATCAGCTTATATAGATAAATCAAGTAATCATAAAGTGATTGAAAATCTTAATTGCGATAAAACATTCACTTAAAATTCTTGATAAAATTATGCTTTTTCTTCTTTATATATTTTGGTGATAACGAAAAAGTGCAACTTCTCTCAATCTTATTCAATCTGTCTAATTTTAAAAAGTGTATAGGAAGCTATGTATTGAAGCTGCATTCCCTTTTAGGGATCAAGTAAAGTTAGTCCTTTCTTAACAAAGAAATTGTCAATTGTTTTTAATTACACTATATATATATATACTGTGCGGTCCTAGAGTCCTAGAGAATTTCAAAACAAGTCATAACATATCTACATTATGTAAAGTAAAAACATTTGTATTTTATATTTACAAAGAGTTTGTGCAGCAATTATCAATATGTTTTAATATCAGAATTGAGCATAGTATATCTTTTTTAATATTCAATTGACCTTTTCTAAGATAACAGGAAATTAATAAAAGTCAAGACTCTTTCGTACTTTCAACACCCTTTTTCCAAATTTGTTGTGATAAAGATTTTTTTCATGCACTGCATGCGCACAGGGAATTGTTGATTTTTATAATAACTTAATGTATTGTTAAATTACAGACAGAGAAGAAGGTCGTGTTGCTGATCTGACATCTCTCCCCTGGGAACTCATTTCCACCGACCTAAAGAACATCTTTGGTGCAGAGTTTTCAGACCCGGCCACGCGATATGTTTTTATAGGCAAAGGTTAGTGCAACTTAAAAATAAATTGAACGACAATTAACAGTATTTTAAAAACACAAAAACTAAAACCGTTAAAGTCGTTCCCGAGAAATTACGTTTCAATTATATAATAGTAAGGTAAATTTATCTCGTTCCAATGGCATGTATATCATTATTTCTTATAACTATTGATAAAAAAATCATGATTTCTTAGGAACTAGATTATATGTTATGGAAAACAAATGATCAAACTGTTGAAAGGAGGAAAGGAGAAATCTCCCTACCAAGAGATAATTTGTCGCACGTAGCTTTATCTTGAGAAGTAGATAAGTCGTGGGAACGAGGCAATTATGTAGTGGGAAGGAGACATTATTTCATGGCTATAAAAAAAAGAAAGAAAAAAGCGACCGTAATGTTTTCTTGACATTTTATCCAATAAAGCTTATGCAGATATGTTGCATTTATTACGCATGTATTAAAAAGAGCGATGACCATGTTGTAAAGGTGTCTGTTTCCCAAGATTATAGGTCGAAATCTTACTTTGGTCACAAAAATCCTTCGAAAGACATTAGACGCCAGTCAAAGTAGAGTCTAAAGAGCGTGCTCGAGATATTTTCAAATCATCTTTAAGCGCTCGTTAAAATAGATAATATTATTAAGGCGACAGTATGACAACACGATAACCTAGGTATGATGGTAACAGTTCGACGCAATACAATAGTCAGTACTATCACCATCTTACTGTCGCGCTTTTCAATCGATCTAACGTATTGTCATCATCGTGCTTTATGGTTTTATGCTTTTGTTTCTTGGGACGAACTTAATTATTCTAACGGAACAGTGTATCATGAGTCATATCTTAAGATGACATGAAATAAACGAAAACACTTAAATAAACAAAAGACACGTATAATGAACTCATCAAATTTAACGTAGTGTTTGGTTTTACATTACAGACTGTGAGGTATAAAAGCTGGAGATGACATCATACAATATGATAAACAAGATCATCAAGGAAAGGCGGCGTTCAGTGAACGTAGCATGTCATACTAATGCATGTGATATGATCAAAGACAAATTACTTTTAATAATATGATCCAATGTCGTTCCTTGTAATATAGTTTTTCAAAAGTTGTATAATGATAGAAAACAAACTTATGATTGTAACCTATTTACACTTAGGACACAATGTAATTTTTCATCTTATATTCCTTATGATACATGGGGCGTTAACTGGTTTTACGTGACATCAACCACTGATGGTTGGTTATTACGAGACACAGCAGATAAAAACAGCTATCGACAAACTTAGTAATTGTTGATGATTTTTGTTAGAAAGTATTATTGCAAATTAAAACACTTTAATGTTGTGTATTCCCTTCAATGGAAAATCTTAATACTGATGAGCTAGAATTTAGAGATTTGTAAATGTGATTTTCAAGACGAGAATGCTTTTCATTTTTGCACCTTAACAACTTAAAACAGGAAACAAGTCTAAAACACTACAAGCGTCAATTATCACGACAAATAATTATAATTTAGCTTTTAACTATCATTGGAATGATATTGAACAGATATGTGGTATTTTTGTCTTGATGTATATGATGGTCTTGATTTGGTTTTGATCATTTTAAAGGTCACCCAACAAGGAATGTTATTGACGTTACAGACTGTTCATGACAAAGATAGCGTGAAGCTACTGTCTAAGTCCCCTTGGTACAGATAAAGCAAACTGTCTAAGAATACTGACAACGGCTAAGCGTTTATATATTTTGAAATGGAGCCGAACCTATTGTGTAACACTAATTTCATAGGGGGCTACTGCATATTGGTCATCGAAATGAGCATCGGTTAAAAAGATATGTTGGTCTCCGATAAAACACACGCTAATTAGACTCCCATATGATGACGACAATTAAAAGAAATTGAAGGTAACTTTTACAATGTTAAACTATTGTTGTTTAAATGGATTATTTGTTATAAAAAATCGAAATGCTGTTCTTCCCTTATACTTCCCGTTATCAATTCATGTATTGTCGTTCAATGCAGTTTGTTTGTTCTCGTTGGTTGAGGGGTGTCAAACATCTAACACATCGAAAAAGAAAATGACCAAACATAGGCTCAAAACACTATAAAACCACTTGATATTGACCCGTAATAATGTACAGCACACACACGAACCCTTAAAATAAATTTTAACATGTACAAAAGTTGACTTCTGTTTTAATAAATTGAAATGAATTTGAATTAAAATTTGATAAAAGAAGAGTTTTCGTATGCAGTCAATTTTAATATGTTTTATAATGCACATTTAATGTAATGACTATTTGTATTTGTATACAAATGCTTGAAAATATTATACATTGACACAGACATTATCATTTATTTTGTACATAAATCAAGCCTAGCAAAAAAGTTCATAAGTATTCATTTAAATGTATATTATGTTCCTTTCAATCTTACTGTACAATAATATATTAATCTTTTTTGTAGTTAAGTCTTGTTGTGTACTTTAAAGTAACACAATGGACTAGTGCATAGGATAGAATAAAGACAATCTTATCGTAAAAAGGGGATCTTTCATATATCTTTACTTCCTTTTTGTCCATTGCTATAAACACATCATGTGAAAAGATTCAGGAAATGTATGTACCTCGCCAAATGTAAAGACTATCCGTTTATAAAGGAATGCCAAAAAATGTTAGATATAAGTCAGATGAACTCTAAAACAAAATGTAACGATTGCCATGTTTAACATAAATAAATAAATAAACAAATAAAAATAAAATTAAATAAATAAAAAAATAAATAAATGTAAATCATTCTTGTCTTTTCATTTCACTCGCAAAAATAAAAGAACTTTTCAACTTATAAGGTCAAGACTTCCACAAATAGATATTGAACAAATATCAACATATGAATTACAATCTGAATTTTAACAATCTTTCCTTTGTCTGTTGCTGATTTTATTATAAAAACAAGAACTATCGGAGGACAGTAAAGCTCGACTATTCGAAAAACTTGCCACAAGGGTGTTTCATTGAGTATAATAATGCTTACCTATATGAATTCATAAAATTGTCCGAAAAGGTCAAAGGCTTGTTATTAAGATGTTTTATCGACTTAATTTCTGCTTTATTATGATGAATACATAAAATTGTCTCAAGAATGTCTAAGTCAAAAAAGGGGCATAAATATGCAAAAAACCAAATCAGAATAAGGGGACTTGTGCCAATTACGTAAGATAATGACAGAGAACAAGTGTGTGAAGTTTCAATCCATTCCCTTCAGTAGTTATGGAGATACCAGCATACACAAAAACTTAACCAAGAATTTCTAAGTCGAAAAAGGGGCACAAATATGCAAAAAAAAAAGCAAATCAGAATTATGCGACTTGTGTCAAACATGTTAGATAATGTGTGTAAAGTTTCAATCCATTTCCTTCTATAGTTATGGTGATACGTGCTTACACGCACAAACTTAACCACAGGGACTCCGATGCTGACAAATGGGTGGCTGTATTAGCTCGATTATTCTGCGAATAGTCGAGCTAATGAAGCACTCGCAATATTGTTTGGCCACCAAAATATCGGAAGAATTTAATTATCATTAGCAGAACAGGTATTTCTTGAATACTGACTTAAGCGGCACTGAAAGACTTGTACCGGCCATGAACAGGCTCAATGAAACCGAGCCTACATCAAGAATATAAACCATTTAAACAGGATAAGGTTACTTACATTTCATGTCTATGTGACACTTTAATGAATAACTGCACTTAATATCAAACTAAAAGAGACGTGTTCGCTTGAGGGTAAAAAGGCGGAAGTACATTAAATGAAATTTCTAGAGGGTCTAAGTTTATAACACCTGTGCATAATTAAAAGATGTCAATGAAAAAAGCAAAATATGCAAACTATTCTAAGAATGTTTAAGCAAAAATAGAAAATAATGACTCCAATTGTAATTCTTTCATGATCGTAAAATTGCTTGATATTACAATATTTGACATTCCTGATTGTTATATTCAAAGGGAACATGGTGTTATACTAGACAAAACTTTTGTTGGCAACATTCAACATCTGAAACTTCGGTGGGGTGGGGGGGATATCAATGAGAGACATTCTTATTGATTTAGCTTCTTTGTTGTTCTTAATTGTAATTTAACTAACGAAATGTATACATAACTAGTATGGAATAATATGTTATGCAATTTTACAAGGATATTCAATATTGTGTTTGCTAAATTTATCTCAAACATACATATGTTACAATGTTTATAACCTTCGTTATCTTGAATCTGATTTTGTGTTATTGATAGTTAATAGCTTAAAGTATACATGTACTTTTAGAGTTCGGTACATACAAAATAACATGATTTTAAATTATTCTATTACATATTTTAATTAATTACATATACGCATGACAGTCATACTGTTATTTATTCGAGCAATGTGATTCTTTCGCATCCAAATTAAAAAATTTTCGTGTCCTTAATGATTAGTTTCTTGCTTGTCTTCTTGTGTCGTTGCGACAGATCTCAATGTTACCTGTTGCATAGTAAAGAACAAAGTGCATACTGTGATTTAGGTACATTAACATTTTCGCAATTGAATAAATCAGCAACCGCCTTGTAAGTGTGGTATCATCCACCACACTGTCAGCAAGCGATGTATGTATCAACACTATAGCCATTGGCAACATTGTCACAAGGAATAGAAAAGAAATAACTAACAACATGCATGTTATTCTGTGTTTGGTAAATTCACTTCCCGCCATTTGTTGTGTGTCATTTGATAGATTGAAAGAATGTTGCATTAAATAAATTCGTCTGTTCTTTGCAGTTATAAGATTTTTAATAATAAGGCTATTTAATATTATTAGGATAAAAAAGGTAAAAATGAATAAATAACGGCATCTACCCGTGGCCAAAGAATATCTATTAGATATATATAGACAATGCCAAGCATTTTGAAATAACGGAATAATTATAAAAAATATTTTGAAGGTTTACAGACCAAAGGAAATGGCAAGTTACACATAAGAAGACGAGCAGGAATGTGGAAATACATATACAAGAGGTTCGGGCATTACATATCCTTGCCTTAAGTGGAAATAGTACAACTACAGTTCTTTCAATGGTTACCGCAGCAATAACATAGAGATAAAACGGAGTCCCTAAAGAACGCCCAAAACGACAAAATTGAAAATGTTGCAGGCTCAGTTTTATTGAGCCTGTTCATGGACGGTACTGGAAAGTGCAAATTACCGTCCACGACCCCTACCACCGGTTTATGCAGAATTCAAAATTTAAACGCAAAAAAGTAAAATTTTGAAATTAGAAACATCCGCAGATGTGTTCATACGGTGGTCATCATGGAACCTTCAATGTGACACAGTAGTGTCATTCCATGAAAAGCGGCCTATGGTCACCATTTGAAAAAATGCGTGTACCCTTAAGGAGAAAACAATAGGCGAAACTAAATAAAATGTAATTTTGAAAGGGGATCTGAGGTTATGAAGCCTGCATATCACAGATAAGACGTCAAAAGACAAATTTAGAAAGCAGGCAATATATCCTACGGGTGATTATTCAGTATTTAAGTAGGAATACTGGAACCACCCAAGTTGAAAAGGCAAAATAGGAAAAACTTAGAATACCATATATATAACTTGCATACACACCAATATTGTCGTGTTGAACGATCTTCAAGGATCGAAAATATAACATCTTTCATTGTATGTACGGAGTGACTTGTTACAACCTCCACAAGGCACAAATAACACTGATATGGCAATAACATAAAGATAAAACGGAATCCCTAAAGAACGCCAAAAAGGACAAAATTGAAAAGGTTGCATTGCGCCTGTTCATGGGCGGTGCAAGTTACCGTCCACGCCCTCTAGCCATATAGATACATCACTGCAAACGTATTCTAGGAATTTTACAAGTTTGCACAACCAGTTACTTATTTCCTCTATCATAAATTGTCCAAGCCATAGTCAAAAGAGACCCACATAAAACACTAGTAAATCCATAATTGCTAAAACTATCAGATAACAGTACGTAAATGCCTTTTGTTCATTTTTCTTCATAAAAAAGAAAAAGGAAAATATGTTTCCAAAATAACCATCAATTCAGAGAGCTAAATGCAATTATAATTGCTGTAAAATAGAACTATTTATTGACCTCATATAGTTGGAATCAGGTTTTCCAATTACAGTGATATTTCCAGAAATGAATACTTAAAATGTTAAACTAGTTATATTGATGCTTTTCCAAACAATGTCAAAAATACACAATGAATATATTGAATTATGGTGCTCATTTGAATTGTGCAAACAACCAAATATCTTTAGATAATTCCTTTGAAACA